GGAATTTTCCGCCAGTTGGAAACGTTCGGTCAAGAAAAATACTGTGTAACTTTTCATCGTCCTTTTTTAAATAAATATTCTTGAATGAATGTGTAATGAATTAATATACTGTACTATAATCTTGATTTAACAATATAATAAAATCTTGATTTAACAATATAATAAAATCTTGATTTAACAATATAATAAAATCTTGATTTAACAATATAATAAAATCCTGATTTAACAATACTGTATAATAAAATCTTGATTTAACAGTATAATAAAATCTTGATTTAACAATATAATAAAATCTTGATTTAAGAATATACCGGTAATATAATCTTGATTTAGTAACATAATCTTGATTTAATAATATAATCTTGATTGATTTTATAATATAATGCAATCTTGATTTTACAATACTGTATAATGCAATCTTCATTTTATAATAATATAATGCAATCTTCATTTTATAATAATATAATGCAATCTTCATTTTATATTAATATAATTGAATGTTTATTTCATAATAATATAATGTAATCTTGATTTTATAATTTCTATAATATAATAATGATTTGGTTAGAAAATATCATGTTAAAGAAGGCCGAATGAAATACCTATTTTTGATTTTGGTTTATCAATTCATTGATTTTTAAAATTTCGTTTTAATATGGTTTCATTTTTATTTTATGTGTTACCCCTGAAAAATACGGAACTTTCTTTCTCAGCAGGGGATACTTTTATGGCAAATTTAGAAGAAAGCCGCTTTTTGCCCGGGTTATCCGATTTTGAGCTAGCATTTTTATTAGGCTTTACAATTTATCGCACCATTGATCGTATGTTTTATTCCCGTCTTGGAGCGACTTGGACTTATTTTTTCTGATTTTGTGCACTTGCGCCGTATTCCGTATTTTTGCATCCGAAAGAGTAGTACATGTATGTAAAAGCATGACATTCATGTTCCGAGTCTAGTAGAGGTGTAAAAAAAAATGGCTAGTGTGTAAAAAGAGAGATTATTTCTGACTCTTTCCAATGCGATGCGATGTGTTTCCTTCACACACCGTGTTTCACTTTTAAATGCACAGGAGGATCGAGAGGATGGCAGCGAATCCACGGTCGAGGACAAAGATGAGATCCCCCGGTTTCCAGCTGAGCTCCCGCTTGACATTCCAGGCGCAGATGTCCTCTGGGAAGTTCGACAGAAACCCGTCAATTCTGACAAGGTACGGTATTTTTTTTTTTGCCAACGTCTTGTTCACCTCGAATCTGAGTCTCATATACTGGGCCTAAAGTCTGAGGCCTGAAATAAATTTCATTTTGGCTGAGTGTCAGGGTTTTGAAGAGAAAAATTTTGTTTGGTGAATATGCGTAGAAAACTTCTGTTTACTGTAAATGTTTTCCTGTGATTACTATAAATGTATCTCTGGCAAATTTAGTTCATAATTCAAATTCTCTTCTCTGGCGTAAAAAAAAATGTAACTATTGATAAATTTTGAAATTTTTCATCCTATTTTTAACCTTTCAGTTTGAACGAACTGGAATTATTTCATTGGATTTTTAACCTTTTTGTATCGGAATAGAACAAAATAATTTTTTTTTCCCTTTTTAGATGTATTTTTTCATGCTTACAGTATTTTTGTTCCAAGGCCTTCAATGAAATCAGTAATTATTATTCAATATTAGAAATCAAATAAAATGTTGAGTCTGTATTAGAGTTATTAATACTTCGGTTGAAATTCAGGTTTGAAAATATTTTCTTTTGGTTAATTTGTAATGCTTCAGCATTAAAGTTGCTTTTTGATTAATATTCCCTAGAGATTCCTTCGCTGTCTATCTGAAAATTTCAAATTCCTGGTGCATTACAGGAGAAGTCTGGGATGAGAGGATCCAAGTTGAGTGGCTTCTGGTAGAGGATCCCCTGGTGTATTACTTTTCCGTGCACTGAATTAGTTGAGGTTCAAGAAACATGAATTAATGGATTACGTCTCGGATGTATGATCTGTCTCTTGGTTTGATTGGATTTATGGTGGCTGACATTTCGTGGAAACCGTAATTTTTTTATATTTAGTATAGAAGCTTGGATCATATTGTTTCGTCCTGAAAAAAATAGGGTATGTTGGAAAAACAGCTCGCTGGTGTTCAAGTACTGTATACAAAAAAAGCGATGTTTTTTTTTGAGAATCTGTGTAAGAATATGAAAACGAATTATTCATGACACTTTTTCCTCCATATGCCGTCGAGGAGTTGACATTTTCAAAAGCGAATTTCCAGCCATCCTATTATTTTTTTTAGCAAAGTGCTTTTGCTCCATGTATAATTTGCATGCCGAAGAGTGCTTCGTATTTTCCCTAGATAATGTAATCAGCGGAGAGAAATGAGTTTGAGCGTTTACCTGCTGCACTTTCCAGAGGCTTCTTTTCATGCGAAGGATATGTTCTAGGGGTTTTCTCCATTTTCTTGAAAGTTCATTTAACTTTCTGCGCCCTTTTGCCCTTTTTAGATATTCACATTTTGAAACTGAAGAACAAGAGTGATGAACCTTGAAGCTTTCATTATGAACTTTTAAAGCGAGTGGTTGCTTCTCTTGGCAGGTGTTGTTTTTTTCAGCAGGAGTTTCCTTTTTAACATAAAACAGCATTTTGTTTTACATTTATGGTAGAAATTTAATAAAATGTTGTCTATATTTACAAGTGCAAGATCTTCTTGATCCTTCTCAAGATTCAAGTATCTCCTTTATATGGGAGAGCAGTGAACAGACACAAGGCTCAAGCAGAATAATGCTATTATTCAATCAACAACAATATTCACACAAGACCTTGGATATTTCCTACACAGGATGTCTCAACAATGGTCAGCACACTAATGCCCGATTTTGGGCAGATGTTACTGGGGTTTACATACTCCAGAATATGGCCATATTATATAACTTGTTATCCCAAACTGTCGGATGTGAATAAAACTTTATAAGATCTGTACAAGAACGTCTTCTTGTGTCCCAAATTCCTCAAGTCTTAATCCAATGGTTTCTTGTTGGGATAAGCTTCGTCAAGAAGTATTAATCTTATGGCCGGAGTAAAGTGAATGAGACAACTTCTCTTAGTCCCAAATACGTATATTTCAGATCATGCACAACAACAGTCCAGACCAGCAATGAGCAATGAAAGGAGTATTTGGATGCTCCTTTATAGACAACGCATGCGCAAGACAGGTAACTGACTGCGAGGGGATAGAATAAACAGAAAGTAAACCGAGTCACGTGAATGAACGGTCAGCAGACAATGCATTCTGGTGCTTGAACTCAATGCGTTGCTAGGCAGATCTCACATATGAAACACAGTTCAAGAACGGGGTATTATTACGCTGTTCAAGGACTCACAATTATTATGATGACAAACTATAATATTGGTATACCAGGAAGCGGTACTTTTATTTGAGGGACGGATCCAGGTTGGAAGGACAAAGTGCAAAGCTGTTGTCAGGAATAAATCCTTTATATATAAAGATATTCAAAAGAAAGATTTGTACGTAGGAGTATTTGATTTCAGGTATGAATAAATGAAACAACAGAATTTGGTCAGGCTACAACCGGAGTGAAATCTCACCCTATTTTAAAGTTGTTGTAATTCAAAGTTTCAAACACACAGTCAATACAAACAAAGTTCACAAAAAACACAGGAGTGTCTTGTATGAGAGCAGCTCAGAGAAGTGAGAATTTTGACAAATAACAGAACCAGGATTTGGAGATAAAAAACAGCCTTGAAGGCTTCCAGAAAAAGTGTGTGTGAACCAAGGTCTTTCCTGGTGCACACAGAGATGCACAAGGACAAGTCTTCCCAAGAATTTGGACTCCCAATTTTATCATTCAGCATAACTCTAGCATTTATTGTGGCAACAGCTTTGTTCTTAAACAAAGGTCAACTCAGAAATATAATATTATTATGTTGAACTATTTCCTGGAGGATCTCAAAGTAAAGGAAGAATAATTAATATTATCCTTTCTTTCTTCTTCCTTCTTTTTCTCTCACCTGAGTTGTCCTTTTTGTACAACTCTTTAGCTAGTAATTATTCCATCAAGAATTTTCCGATATGATATCAAAAAGAAAATGTGAAAAAAATCTTTATCTCAACATTGATCACCTGTTTTTTTCTTTTCCACTTCCCAAACAGTATTACAACTTTTCGGCCTTCGCCTTGGCACTGAACGAGTTGCAGCCCGGGATGAGAGAGCGTTTGTGTTGCACCGACTCCCGTCTTAGGCCAGACATGAGGAAACTTGAGGAGGGCAAATTGGACGAAGCCGCGGCAGAAAAACATCGTCTGGAAGAAAAACAGCGCGAGTCGCGGAAAGCCCGCAAGAAACTCAAGAACAAGGTCGAATGGAAGCCGAGGTACAGAATTGTGTGATGTGTAGGAGTGATTTGATTTGATTTGATTGACTGAGCGCAGGAAGGTGCATCAACTTGATTAAATGACTGGCTGATAAATAGTTTGAAAGCGGTACTGAGTCAGAAAAATACAGGGTCGTCCGAAACACGTTGGGAATATTTTCCAGGAGAAAGGATTTTTTTTTACATTTAAATTGCTGAATAGAGCTTTATTTTTTTGCTCTCATTTTAAACGTACTTGAAACAGTTACGAGTTTTCTGAGCAAGAATTCAACATAATTTCTTATTTTCCAGGAGAAAGGATTTTTTTTTTACATTTAAATTGCTGAATAGAGCTTTATTTTTTTGCTCTCATTTTAAACGTACTTGAAACAGTTACGAGTTTTCTGAGCAAGAATTCAACATAATTTCACTTATAAAATGTACGGTATCTAGAAAATTGCATCAACTGTTAGTATGAATTTGATCTTAACTTTTCCAACATTTTTTGGTATAGAAATACTGTATTTTATATCAAAAATTTCGATTTAAGACGCTTGAAATGTTGAAACCCCAAATTCAGGCTTCAAGTTTTTCGGTATTCATGTTTTAATGTGGGTTCAACATTTTTTTGGCAGGTCTGGGCATACAGTAGGTGTTATTGGGAAAATTTGCTTCGCATTAATCAAGACCAATGAAATTAATTAATTTAGTTGTCTATAAATCCTGAAGGACTGTAAAAATGTTTTCAAGAGCCGTTCCATTTTCATCTCCAAATTTTGAAATCCAATGAAGGGGATTTATTTACATACAAAAAAGGGAAAGGCATGAAATATCTTTGAGTAAGATTCACCCAATGATGAAAAAGTTTACGTTTTAGCTGAGAAATTTCACCATTTTGCACCAAGTATTTTCAAACCAGAAAAAATATATTTTAAATCCTTTGACTGATACGCTTTCAAATTTTATGTCTTAAATTTGCGATGCCACGAGTGACACTATGTTTCAGAGTTCTTGATTGTTCACAAAGGATGAATTTCACCAATGATTTTGAGTGCTTCAGAAATTTAATTAAAAATAGCTTTTGCTTCACGTATTTTCAAAAAATAGGTGTATACACTAAAAGTGTGTACAAATTAAAAATTTTGAAAACCATAACTGAAGAAATTATTTAAAAATGAGACAGTTTTATTATTCTTTGACGGAAACCCTCAAGTCACTCACTTTTACAATTGTGCTAATGTTGATCCTCTTCTTTTCGGAACAGAACTTTTTTTCAAAAGTCCCTTTTCTTCACTCTCATGAGTTACTTTATTTTATCAATGGTAAAACCATTGAGGAATGTTCCTCTTTACGAAGTTCTGCTTGAGGAAGAAAAGCTCTTGTGATCAATTATTCTTTATCTGATGAACACCCGGAGGAAAAGCGGACAAGGTTTTCAGGATACCCAGGAAATTATTCCTTCAAGTGCGAGGGCGCAGAGCTATGATAATATACAAACAGAAAGGCCGCACATAGTGTACAGTATATGGTAATATGTGTAGATCCCGTAGGAAATATGTTTTGGAGGCGGGACGAAGTGCTTCTCCTCATCCTGGGATGTGGATTTATTGATCCGAAAGCCCACCCAGCTCTGGGGAAATGTCATTACTGACAGTTGCCTGAATACTTTGCGCAGAAATGCCAGGGAAAATGATGGGAAATACCCCGTGGGATTTTGACGCTGCCCTTCAGATATACTATAGGCTCATCACTTAATTTTGAGTGATTATGGCATCGGAGTTTTTGACAGGTTTCTGAAGGCAATTACAATTATTATTGTGGAATGGAGCATTCATAACACCATCATGAAGTTTAATTTTATTTCGTTTTGGAATTTCTGTATTTGTGTGTGTCGATGGTTTATCATAGGCAGTGGGAATTCTGATACTTCCTTATAGATTCATGTGGATCACTTGTATCTTAGTAATTCTGGTATTGGTAGTTTTCACCAGACTCCAATTATTATTGTGAAATGATCATTCATACCATCATCAAGTTTATTTTATTTTGTGTATTTCCAGATTTTGTCTTGAAATTTGTGCCTCTGTTTTTGCAAGTGATTTTCTCACAGGTTTATTGCCTGAAAATTATGACACTTCCCTCAAGATACTGATCACTTATTTCTAACTAACTTTGATATTGGAATTTGCAACAGTTTAACAGTATGATACAATTATTTTTTCGAAATGATCATTTATATTATTATACCATCATTATAAGTTTTTTTAATTGCATATATTGTCCTTCTTAATTGTGTCTCCCAATTTATCTCTGCCTTTGGTGTCCTCTTAAGTCTATTGTCTTGGAATTTTGATGCTTATTCCATTCAAATACCGATCACTTATTTATATCTGAGTACTGTATTTCCTGCATTGGAATTTTTTTCAAATTTTGTGCAGACTCCAATTATTATTGTGAAATGATCATTCATACCATTATCAAGTTTGTTTTATCTCATTTATGCTTTCAAATTGTGTCTCAGAATTTCTACCTGTCTTTACAATTAGATGTCTTACAAAGGTCTGTTGCCTGGGAATTTTGACACTTCCCTTTAGATACTGATCACTTATGTTTGAGTGATCCTGGTACCAGATATCTGCAGACTCAAATTATTATTGTGAAATGATCATTCATAACATCGTTGAGTTGGTTTTATTTCATTGTTATTTTCGAAGTGTGTCTCAGAATTTCTATCTCTGTTTTTGGCAGTGGTTTTCTCACAGCTATTTTTCCTGGTAATTTAGTCCTGAATAATTTAGATCTTAAAGTTTTTGGAAGTTTTGTGTGGAGACTCCCAATTAATTTTGTGTAATTGATCATTAATTCCACCTCGAAGTGTACATGTATTTCGAAATTGTTTCTCAAATTTGCTGTCTCTTTTCCATTTTTTTGCAGATGGTTTTCTCAAGGAAAAAACCCTGCGACTGGGTCTGAAGACTGGAACTACACCGGCGATTTCTGGAACCTGGAGAAAAAGCTGGCTGTTGAGGCTGAAATCTTCTAGCCGACATCGACACACGCGTTGTGGAGTCCTTTTTTTATTATTATTTTATCTTATTCGCTACCTCGGTCTTGATTTATTTTTTGTTTCGTGTGAATAGCATTCTTTTTATTCGTCTGCTCCAATTTATCTTAGTGGAAGAGGCAGTTACCCCATACCCAGGTTTTTGTTTAGCTGTTAACTATCCCGGTGGGTGAATTGACTGCTGCTCTGGTTTCTTTCTTGTGCGTAAAACTGTTCCGTGAATTTTTGTTTTGGACCAGTCGTATAATCCCGTGTTCTGTCAGGCCAAAAAATGTGTCCCTGTTCATTTTTATCGGATGTTGAAAGGTTCTTAATTGTCTTGGAATTCTTTAAATTGAGGAAAAAGCCAGCCTTTGCTGATAATTATTGACTGTTTAGATTTTCTTTTTAATGTCTGTCTTTATTTGAACATTTTTTGCTACTCTGACAGAATTTGCTCTGCCCGTCATATCAAGTCACTTTCGAAAAATATGTGTGACTATTTTGATTGAGCATCGGTGTATTTTTTGCTCAAAATATTTCTCCTTCCTTCACGCCTTGGATTCGTTTTCTTTTTCAGTTCGTTTTCGTTAATCGCCAATGCATTCCAAAAGCTCCGATCGCTAGTTTTTTTTTTTTATGGGAGAATATCTAACCTTGAACGATGTGAATGGGGTTAGAGAATTTTATTTTAGCCCCCCGACCGAGACTTAATTTTTTGCTTGAAGAACAATGTGTCCTATAGGGAGATTTGGATCACTGGACGAACCGGTAGCTTTTTACACGACTTGGTTCTATAGGGTGGAAGTTGGAAAATGAATGGAAAGAGAAAATTGGTATAGGAAAACGTGTTCTATTGATTTTTTGAATCTTGAATTTGCTGTGGTTCAACCGGCGACCAGTTTTTTGTGGATTCGTCTCCGAGGAATTGCGGAGTATGGAACTCTTAATATGTCAAAACTGGGGGACGAAAGGTATGTATATCCATCCGGTTATTCAAAAGGAACACTTCAGTGACACAGGCGGATTCCAGGAGTTTCCCTGTCGAGGTTCTGAATTGCGCTTCGTTCAAGAAAAGAAATCCGGTTTCTTGGGGAAACCATGATCCCTTCAGAAACTGGTCTGGGGACTTGATTTTCATTGGGATGTTCCACTGGTCAAAGAACTTGATTGACAGTCACGACGTTTTGTTCGTAGTTCGGTCTCCCACCCTCACCGAGGAAGGAAGTCTGGAGAACTTGTGAAGCAGTGATATTTACTTTGTGGAAAGTTAACCTTATAAATTACCTCCGGATGCTTGTGGATTTTCGTGTCTGTAAACTTGTAAAGCGAACGCGTGGAACTGTACAGCGCGTCCGGGATACAAGTTGATGAGAGTGACATCTGTGTCGTCGATGCCAGTAAAGGTTCCAATTCTGTTGTCTTACACGTTGTTGAGTGTGCTGGTTTTGACGACTCCCGCCGGACTCTTGCGAGCGAGTTTCGCGTTGCCTTTGGGAACTCAACTCCAACGGACGCTGCGGCTTTCCAGCAGTCGTCCTTGGGATTCATCCTATCCTTTTACCGGGTCTGTAGGAAACCAGGTAAAATCCCTGTTTTTTAATCATCATGATGTGCTATCCATCGTACCATTTTACGCTTCTTTCCTCCAGTGTGAGCAATCAAAAACTACTTCTGAGTCTCTACTACTGACACCTATGAAGATTTTTTAAAACACAAAACGCTACGTTCTCATTTTTGAATAGATGTCGCAGCAACCAGAGAATAATGACGGAATGTAACGTTACAGTACCCGAAACAGTTCTGTGTATTGCATCATCTTCCTTTGTGCAGAACTTTTTACCTTCGATTCTGGAATATGGCTTTGGGATTGTATTGAGCCGTACAGCTGTAAATTCGATGGACAAAGTGCGGTAAAACTTAGCCTTGGGAAATTGCCGTAAAGATATTTGCGGACAACGGGTTCAAAAGATCGTTTATTACGGTGATACTGTACAGTACTGTAATATTATATCGCAGTGACATCTATATTTCCTCGTTCATTGTGAAAACCTTTATGGTGACCAGTGAAAAATCTCTGGGATGACAAATATTTATTTTATTGAGATTGCAGAAAGCTTTTGGCCATATGTGCAGTATTTTAGGGAAATATCAATACTTTGTTACAAAATACAAGATCTGCTTAGACAAGATTCCGCCGACACTCTTGTGTATGAATACAAGATTATTGCTTGCACGAGGCATATTTAATGCACAAAAGGGAGCATTTTTGATTGATCATGAACTGTCTCAGTTTTATTCCACCATGCGATAGAACATCACCAAAAATAGTGGATAAAAATGAAAGTTAGGCAATCCTGCTTTTCAAGAGTAAGAAAGGGTATACCTGTAAAAAAAACAGTAGTTACAATTCAAGGGCTCCGAATTTCAGCACAAGGGTTGAAATCTGTATGCCTTCACCCTTCAATCATGGAATTAACCAACACTTTTCAAGCCATTGATGCTCAGCCAAAAGAACAATTCATTCTGATTATTGATCAAATGCTTTGAACACAATTCATGGCATAGTTTTTAACAGTCAACAATGAATATATTTACATCACATATTTCACAGCACTCACATAAGTGTAATGTGAACTTTAAAGTTTTTCAGTGAATGTGATTTCCAAAAACACTGCATTTTAAAAGTATGAAATCATGGTTTTTCATGAAGTACACATACTGTATACAGTATTTAAAAAAAAAATTCCAGCACTCCTTATAACATTGCACATTGAGCCAACATATTGCATGAAGATCATGTAGTCTCTGTAAGTGAAACAGCACCACTTTTACCCATCCCTATAATCGTCGAGTAAAAGTGAAGTAAGAAAGGACTTTCTATAACGTACATTGGTGAAGTTTATAGATGGTTTTGTATGGTTAGTGTCTACTACACGGTAAAGTCGACGCGTAGTCAAAATGTCTCTATATATGGCTAGCCATAATATCTGTGTTAGAAAAATGAGTCTTCACAAAAACAGAATGCCAAGTAGAGTTGCCACTCCAGAGTCAAAAGCATTATTGATTGATCTTGAGCCATTGTTTCACTGCATCCAATTAAGGTACAGTTGGGGATTTCCAAGCAAGTTTTGCCTCCCTAAATTAAAAAATTCTCTGAGTAAGAGTTCCAGTTAATTCCTGGTCTATTCTGTGATGCTGTGAAGTCCAATGGAATTTAAATCTACTCAGCTCTAAACCACTTGGGTGAAGTCACCTTTAGTAAAATTTCAAGTCCTTTCTTTTTTTTAAATTGGGTGTGAATTTCAAAAGACCTATTCAAGAAAAAATAAGTATATGCCAGTTATTTGCCATATTATGTCTTCCATAATGTTCTAAGCATCTTCCTGCAAGAAGAGCATTTAAGAATTAGGAACAGTTCTGATGTATCAGAAAGAAAATAGGACCAGTTAACAAAGCTATTACACAAACTCAAAACTCCTTTAAAAAAAAATCTTTTAAGTCCCTATACAAATTTGAACTTTAGAGATCCAAGTGTATCATTTGTACATCATAACCCTTTTAAATATGAATATTATTTAAGTGTGCTGAAGTCTTTCAGTTTAGTAGCTGTCCTGGAGAGGAAAGAACATTTTCAAAATGTAAAAATTTCAACTAATTAAAGACATTTGTGTACAATCTGAAATGTCACAATTGCCTTCTCTAGAAAGAATAGGACAAATTGCACAACATTTATGTTATTGTTCAACATAACAAGCATATATGTCATCACAGATTATCCTGAAAGCTTCTCTCAATATACAGTACTCTATATGACCAGTTTTGCATTTGTTATCTACAAGTCTGATTAGTCCACCATGATTCAGTGTTGAAATAACTCTTTGCATTTTTGTAGGGATCATGAAGCAGAGCACAAAGTCTGCACATGAAGTGAGTGTTGACGAATTCCCCAGTTCCTTTCCATTTGAAAAAAGAATTGAACTTGTCATCGTCTGCGTCAATTTCGTGCAATTTATCCGCCAATGCTTTCGGTGATTCAAAATCATCCACATGCAGGAATGAATTCAATGGGGCGGCTTTTGCGTAATCTTCTTTCCTTGCTCCCAGTGCAATGGGTATCACGTTGTTCCTATCACAAAGAAAACACAGAAGATGAAGTTTTTCATAGTAATTTTGTAGACAGTCATTTATTCCAAGTACACTGCTTGAGAGCAATGATGCGGCATATATTTAAAATATTCATGTTTAACATATTATATTCATGTTCAAATTGTGAGGTGGTACCTCACAATTTGACCATCCTACAATTCAATGGTCAAATTTTCAGGGAGGTTGACTTGCAATTTGACCGGCCCTTGTTCCCAATTCAACCTGCTTTGGCCACTTTTTTGCACCTATATTTTTTGAATTTCACAAAGTGTCTTGCAATTCAACTCCTTTGCAATTTGACCCTTGTTCCCAATTCAACCTGCTTTTGGCCACTTTTTTGAACTTATATTTTTTGAATTTCACAAAGTGTCTTGCAATTCAACTCATTTGCAATTTGACCCTTGTCCCCAATTCAACCTGCTTTTGGCCACTTTTTAGAACTTATATTTTTTGAATTTCACAAAGTGTCTTGCAATTCAACTCCTTTGCAATTTGACTCTTACCCCCAAATCAACCTGCTTTTGGCCACTTTTTAGAACTTATATTTTTTGAATTTCACAAAGTGTCTTGCAATTCAACTCCTTTGCAATTTGACCCTTGTCCCCAATTCAACCTGCTTTTGCCACTTTTTTGCACCTATATTTTTTGAATTTCACAAAGTGTCTTGCAATTCAACTCCTTTGCAACTTGACCCTAATTTGGCAATGGATTATGACTTAATTTTTAAATACTGTACCACCTGCACATGATGATGGGCACACAGTTCTTGCTTTTTGCAAAAGGGCAAAAAGCAAAGGAAAAGTACAAGTCTTATTGTGCACAGATGATGGAGCATGCTCAAATCAAAGTAATCACAAAATTAACATTTTTTATCATTAAATTGAGTGAATTTGTAATAAAATTCATTTTTGACCACTATGAACATGAATAACTCATTTTTTTCAGAGATATTGCAATTTTGGGAAGGATAAATGTTGAATTTTTCCAGAAATGTTGCAAAGGTTTTGTCCAGATGTTGGGTCTGATTATTCAGCATTACAAGTGTCAAATTGTCCATATATGTGGGGGTGTTTTCATATTTTGGGGTCTCACTGTATTCAACACCAAAACTATTCAGCAAGAGAAAACTTAAGTGCAAACAAAGTATTCTAAAAACAGTGATTGATAAAAAAAACTAGTCTAAAAACGATTTCTTCTATACTCCATTGATAAATACAAAAGCCTTCATACTGTGCAATATATAGGGACACAATGCTTTCTTTTCAAAGACAATTTCAATTTTAGTCTCAATTAATTAAATGGGTAGGGATATTAGCAGCTCATTTTCACTTCATTCTTTCCTGAAAGATATTGCATGTAACCACTTCAAATATCTACCAAAACATACCAATCACAGATGATGTGCCATTTCAGCTGCGCATCAAAAAATGTCTCTATATGGCTAGCCATAATATCTATGTTCGAAAAATGAGTCTTCACAAAAACAGAATGCCAAGGAGAGTTGCCACTCCAGAGTAAAAAGCATTATTGATTGATCTTGAGCCATTGTTTCACTGTATCCAATTAAGGTACAGTTGGGGATTTCCAAGCAAGTTTTGCCTCCAACCCTTGGACGGCGGCAGCCTCCTTTCCATCACAGGGCAAAGTTGGACTTTTTCCTGATGGGTGTGCATTATATTATTGCACAAGGTTATGCAACCCCTGCCCGGTGGGGGAGGGCAAAGTCGGATTTTTTCCAGGGATAATGAAATGCTGGGAAAGTCCTGAGTCAGACTTTTTCCATATTGACCTCCAACCTGCATGGGCTCCAGGCTTTCAAGCTTAAATTTCATCTTTGAATGGGGAAACAACACAAGGCCAGGGAAAAAAAGGGAGCCTTGAAGCTTTCATTTTTTCATTTTCAGGTGAAATTTTTCTGTGAAAAATTTAAAAAATGCCAGGATTTTTCCCAAATTTGCCCTGCACACACTGTTGGGTTTTTTTTAATTCCACTCTGGAGTGCCACCAAAATCTTCAAAAAAAGTCCGACTTAGCCGCAGAAGGGTTAAATTAAAAACTTCTGAGTAAGAGTTCCAGTTACTTCCTGGTCTATTCTGTGATGCTGTGAAGTCCAATGGAATTTAAATCTACTCAGCTCTAAACCACTTGGGTGAAGTCACCTTTAGTAAAATTTCAAGTCCTTTTTTAAAATTTGGGTGTGAATTTCAAAAGACCTATTCAAGAAAACAGAAGTATATGCTAGTTATTTGCCATATTATGCCTTCCATAATGTTCTAAGCATCTTCCTGCAAGAAGAGCATTTAAGAATTAGGAACAGTTCTGATGTATCAGAAAGAAAATAGGACCAGTTAACAAAGCTTATTACCCAAACTCAACACTCCCTTTAAAAAAATCTTTGAGTCCCTATAAAAATTTGAACTTTAGAGATCCAAGTGTATCATTTGTACATCATAACCCTTTTAAATATGGAAATTATTCAAGTGTGCTAAAGTCTTACAGTTTAGTAGCTGTCCAGGAGAGGAAACAACATTTTCAAAATGTAAAAATTTCAACTAATTAAAGACATTTGTGTACAATCTGAAATGTCACAATTACCTTCTCTAGAAAGAATAGGAAAAATTGCGCAACATTTCTGTTATTGTTCAACATTACAAGTATATGTCATCACAGATTATCCTGAAAGCTTCTCTCAATATACTCTATGACCAGTTAAGCATTTGTTATCTACAAGTCTGATTAGTCCACCATGATTCAGTGTTGAAATAACTCTTTGCATTTTTGTAGGGATCATGAAGCAGAGCACAAAGTCTGCACATGAAGTGAGTGTTGACGAATTCCCCGGTTCCTTTCCATTTGAAAAAAGAATTGAACTTGTCATCATCTGCGTCAATTTCGTGCAATTTATCCGCCAATGCTTTCGGCGATTCAAAATCATCCACATGCAGGAATGAATTCAATGGGGCGGCTTTTGCGTAATCTTCTTTCCTGGCTCCCAGTGCAATGGGTATCACGTTGTTCCTATCACAAAGAAAACACAGAAGATGAAGTTTTTCATAGTAATTTTGTAGACAGTCATTTATTCCAAGTACACTGCTTGGGAGCAATGATGCGGCATATATTTAAAATATTCATGTTTAACATACTGTATTCATGTTCAAATTGTTGAGGTGGTACCTCACAATGCGACACCTCACAATTTGACCATCCTACAATTCAATGGTCAAATTTTCAGGGAGGTTGACTTGCAATTTGACCGGGCCTTGTTCTCAATTCAACCTGCTTTTGGCCACTTTTTTGCACCTATATTTTTTGAATTTCACAAAGTGTCTTGCAATTCAACTCATTTGCAATTTGACCCTTGTTCCCAATTCAACCTGCTTTGGCCACTTTTTTGCACCTATATTTTTTGAATTTCACAAAGTGTCTTGCAATTCAACTCATTTGCAATTTGACCCTTGTCCCCAATTCAACCTGCTTTGGCCACTTTTTTGTACTTATATTTTTTGAATTTCACAAAGTGTCTTGCAATTCAACTCCTTTGCAATTTGACCCTTGTCCCCAATTCAACCTGCTTTGGCCACTTTTTTTGCACCTATATTTTTTGAATTTCACAAAGTGTCTTGCAATTCAACTCCTTTGCAACTTGACCCTAGTTTGGCAATGGATTAGGACTTAATTTTGAAATACCACCTGCACATGATGATGGGCACACAGTTCTTGCTTTTTGCAAAAGGGCAAAAAGCAAAGAAAAAGTACAAGTCTTATTGTGCACAGGTGATGGAGCATGCTCAAATCAAAGTATATCACAAAATTAACATTTTTTATCATTCAATTGAGTGAATTTGTAATAAAATTCATTTTTGACCACTATGAACATGAATAACTCAATTTTTTTCCAGAGATATTGCAATTTTGGGAAGGATAAATGCTGAATTTTTCCAGAAATGTTGCAAAGGTTTTGTCCAGATGTTGGGTCTGATTATTCAACAGTACAAGTGTCCCCAAGTCAAATTGTCCATATATGTAGGGGTGTTTTCATATTTTGGGGTCTCACTGTATTCAACACCAAAACTATTCAGCAAGAGAAAACTTAAGTGCAAACAAAGTATTCTAAAAACAGTGATTGATAAAAAACTAGTCTAAAAACGATTTCTTCTATACTCCATTGATAAATACAAAAGCCTTCATACTGTGCAATATATAGGGACACAATGCTTTCTTTTCAAAGACAATTTCAATTTTAGTCTCAATTAATTCAACCTCCTTTTTTACGATTTGTTTTCGCCATCTTTGGAGCATGAAAACAGTTCATGAGGAGTCTTTTGGCCTCCATGGAGCAGGATTTAAGAATGCGGGCTTGATATATAATGCGAAAAATAATTCATCAACTTGTATTTCATGAAATATTGTTCATTTTCAGTTCTCAGCTCATTACAGGTACATTTCGGCAGCAAGGAAGAATTCGGGGTTGATAGTCGCATTGAATTATTGATTGCGATCGATATGGTGCAAAAGCGCTAGCGTGAGCACCTTGCAATCATTATTTCTTTTCCCCTCTCTCTTGTATGTAAGTAGAACTGCTCTTTCTAATATCATATTCCACCACGCTTACCATACACATACAACAATGGTAAACTATAAACTCTGCATGCATTCAGGCGCATATATACTGTACTGGTATATTCCCGCACAGGCGGCACAGCACTTAGGAGGGTTCTAACAAAAGTTCTGGGAGTAGCAATGAAAATGGCATACAATTGAGCTGAAAAAAAATTTATTCTCTAGCCAAAACATATTCTTTGGCACACAAAAAAAAATCAGCCTGGTTTGAAAATTTTTGGGTTCTAACAAAAGTTCTGGGAGTAGCAATGAAAATGGCATACAATTGAGCTGGAAAAAAATTTATTCTCTAGCCAAAACATATTCTTTGGCACACAAAAAAAAATCAGCCCGGTTTGAAAATTTTTGTTAATTTTTTTGCAAAATTCATCCGTATAGAGTTTTGCTCTCCACTCAAAAATGAGGCGCCCTTTTTTTGTTGTAGCCCAGCTTTCCCCTTCAGAATTTTTGAAATCATAATGGCGGAATTGCCTTGGATGACCTGGAGGCAACCCTTAGAAAGAATGCCAAGTTGATATCAAAAATTCTGAGGGGAAAGCTGGGCTACAACAAAAAAGGGCGCCTGTATGCCATTTTCATTGCTACTCCGAGAACTTTTGTTAGAACCCTCGTATATACTGTACAAGGAAACCTTGTATTCACCGCATGCAGGCCAGGGTTAGGATGTATTTGACCATCGAATATTCAGAAGGAAATAAGTAGAAGCGGAAAAAATGGATGATTGCTCATTTTTTATTGAAATATGAACTCAAACTCAACCTTTCACAAAGATAGCATGTATATTTTTTTTATCTTACATGCAGTTAAAGCTTTAATGTGATGCCCTGCAATTTTACCCTAATCTGTTGCCAGAGGTAAGGGTTGAATTGCAAAATGGTTGAATTTTGGAGATATTCAATGAAGGGAGGTTCAATTATCAAGGTTCAACTGTTCTGTATTTTATTTTCAATTGCAAGACAATAAGGTAGTGATTTTCTCATAAAATAGCATTAGTTTTAAATGTTTTACTGATCCTCAACTTTGTGAGTGGTCAAATTCTAAAAAGAGTACATAAAAATTCTATAAATTTTCTTTGAAAAAAGGAATCTTACTGCACTTTAGAAAAATTGGATTTGAGAAGTACTGTATAAGGATGCATTTTATTTCTATGCCTTTTTGGATTTCCAAGTGTGAACTTGAAAGTATAACTCACTGCAATCCATTGATGAAGAACTTCTCTGTGATGTAGTCATTGCAATTGCTGTTTTCAAATGCCAAGTAGAACTTGTAGTCTCTTTTCAATTTCTCAAAACACTCCTCGCCTTTGCTTCGAGAACACTCCAGTGTCCCACAAGCCCCATAAACATCCACTTGTATGTACTTCCCCAACTCATTGGCGTATTCGAGTCTATTGTTATTCGCCCCGCAATTGGACACGAACCACGCCACCTTCTTGGTCTTGTTCGCCGCCATGTTGCCCGCTTGTTGCGAAAATCGAACACGCTCATCGAAATACATCCATTTTGCGTACGGTGCCACAATGTCGGAGTCCCATCGGTAAGTCGCTGTCCAGTTGATGGATTCTTGAGGGAACTTGGCAGACGAATGATGAGGGCTTTCCAGAATGTACATGACCCATATTTGATGCGAATAGTCCACGGTTCTTTCCATAGATGTCGCTGTGTTCGCGAACAACACCAAGTCGGAATTCGCGAACGGGATTTCGTGACTTCGTCGCAATTCGCATTTCGTCACTGGGCAATGATTGAATGCCGTGTTTCCGGATGGCAACCAATCGAAACCCGAGGTGAGTAATATTGTTTTGCTGCTGATTTGCAGGAATAATGGTAGTGATGCTGGAGAGAACATGAGTTGTTCTAAGATTCGGTCTAGTTGAGGGGCTTCTTCTGGGTAAACTGGGAAAGTTCGGGGTTCTCGCAGTTGAGACGGCTTTGTCATTCCGTTGGTGAAGAAATATGGAAGTCCCGAGATTTCAGACACTTTCATGGGTCGTTTTGAAATTAACGAGAAGTTGGTGAAACTCGTATTTAGACTCGAATTTGAATATTTGAGCGTTTCCTTGGGCATTTCTTGGCTTGGGAAGCGGAAAATCCCGAGAATACTCGTAGAAATCAGCACAGCGGTGAAAAAGATCTTCGTACGTCTTTGTCTTGGCCAAAGAATTCGTAAAATAAATACAAACCTAGAAAACGAAGGAATTATCATTGAAAGGAGTTTACATAAACTTGAAATTATTGGTACAGTATAATGAGGAAGCCTTGATTCCCCTTCATTCAAACCCAGTTATAATTTCTGACTTTTTCTGTTCTATATTTGAGCTTATTTCATTCATTTAAACTATAATATTAGAAAGTAAGAAGCAAAGAAAAAACTTTTCCAAACTGTATCAATCTATATGATGGTGTACGTGCGTGTACGTGATATTCAAAAATTGATTGTAATTGATCGAAAAGTATTCAATCCCCATGGCAAATGATTCTATTCCGTTCATTTTTGTGGGGGTATTTCCAGCGAGTTTTAATATTTTGAAAATATTACCTTTGATTATGTATCTTTATCCGAAAGAAAATTGAATGATTTAAAATTGCAATGTGCCTTTATTCGCGTGTAACGAAAGACCCACAAAACAAAAAATCCGCCTAACGAAATTTTAAAACGTTTTTAACTGAAACTTGAGAATTTTAATACAGGGTACTGAACTATTTTTCAGAATTTTTTAGTACAGTACAGTAACTTCAAATAATAAATACAATTTTGTCTCATTCTTGATTCCTAAAATACATTACTATGTAGCATATACATCAGTGTTTAAGAAAAATGAAACTCGCAACTTTTCTCGAACATATTCCATTTTGTGAATTTTCGAACAATAAGCTATTAATTGGCATCAATAAACAGCACGAACTTCTGCGAATTGCTGTAATGACGAAATTATTTTTGAAATTGTTGCCCTCTGTCATCCATAAAGTACAGTATAATTTGTTCATCATGTGCTCTATCTATAGTATCTATACCAGCAAGATTCCGTGAGTTTTTTGTTGAATTTTTGATAAATGTTGACAAACATTTTGTAATGAACATTTTTGCTTCAAGGATTTCGTTATATTTAGAACATCTAATGATGTTGGAAAACCAATTGAAATTCAGAGCTTTTTAATACTTCAGTATATACTTTTGAAAACCAACTAATTCTAATGGTAGCAAAAATCTTTTTTTGCAGTGCATATATACCAATATATTTTGAAAAGTAGAAAAAAACTCACCATTGCCATTTGCAACAGTTGTGACAGAAATCAGTTTTCATTCCACAGTTTCCAGCCGCACCTGACACAGAACCCTCACATATTTGCTAATGGAGAACCTATTCTGTTTTCTAAATTGCTATAGGCCGCATTGGTTAACTCATAGGCCGCAGTCTGATTTAGGAAAGCCATTTCTAGGATAAAATTAATGAAGTTGCAATAAACATTCATTTTTTCAGTTTCAAAATGTGTCATGGTACTAAATCCAGCACTAAAAGTATATAGAACTTTTAAAATGTTTCTCACTTTTCAAAATTTACTTCAATATTTCAGTCTGAAGATGAAGAATTTTTCCATTATAGCTATAAATCTTTCCAGATCCCTAAAAATTCTTTCTAATGCGAATCCACTGTAAATGTGAGAAACAAAAAAAATGCTGCTTCAGAAAATAAACATGACTATCACTTCTTGGAAATGGGGGAAATTTGATCATTGACTGAACCAGATTTTCTACCATTTCATGTAAGAAAAGAAGAAGGAACCCGACCTCTGCAAAAAATGCACTCATTGAAAACCTCTCCCGGGTTTTTCACATCTTGATGGACTAAACTGAATTCAATAGCAAACTGGATTTACCTTGCTCAAAAAAGAGGAATTTTGATAGCTCAATGTTAATAAAATTATATTCTGATGGTAACACCAGCCGCAAAGACGGTGGAAACTCAACTGCTGTTCCCTACATATATGTTCACCTGTGTAAAAGTATTGAAAAGAATGGGGGTCATATTGGTGAAAAGGAGGGTAAATTCGCACAGCAAATGCTCCTTCCCCCTCTCCTTAACCCCCCCCCCCCCTTGCAGAACATGGGTGAATAGCATACATGAATGACTTGTCTTGGCAACCAGGTATGATGCCTTTTTAGAATAACCTTCTGCTTATTAATGCAAAAAATGAGTTTTATGGTATACAGTTATTCTCAGTGGGGCCTTGAAAGTAAAAACATTCCACATATACAGACAGACACACTGAACTAAAAAAATATGCCCAAAAATCTGAACAATGGTCCAAATGTTGGCACTTTTTGACAATTTCCAGAGGAATAAAGACATTACCTCACCTTCAAAAAACTGTATTGACATGAAGAATTTTGAGGGTTCTACATTGTCATGAAGCAAAAATAAAACTGATTTCAAGTTTATTCTGATTCTTTCTTCAAAACAGGCCAATTTTGTGTTTCTCTTTTTTTGGGATTTTAGTGTGTACACATTGGCAATGAGTGATCAGAATGTGTGTGCTTTTGTTTTATGAGGTACTTTTATTTGTCAAAGAAATTGCAAATTTTGTGTGGTTTTTTTCTGGATTGTTTTTATAGGTCTTTTGAAATTATGGAAAAAATTTGTTGAATTTTTGGAAGAATGTTCTTGATTTTGGCAAATTGCTCATGTTGATCAGTTTGGTTTGAAATCAAGGCGAAATCCTGTTTTAGATTACTATTTTTGGTAGATTTCACATATGTGTGCACTCTGCAAATGTTCCAGAGTGAAATCAAGAGGAAAAATCATTTTTGAAGATTTTTGTTCTTTCTTGAACCAGCTCAAAATTCCCTTATACTGTATATAGACGCCAAAAATGTACAATTTACACTTTTAAAATTTAAATCAAGTCCAAAATCATTTTTAAACATCTTTATTTCAGTAGACTTCATGCATTGACGCTGCACTGCACACTTTCTGGAGTACCCATACATTAAAAAAAAATTGAGGGGTTTTTTTCTTTCTTGAACTTTATTATTGCTGGAAAATCAATGTTAGAAGTTTGATATCCTCACTCACCCGAATGTACAGTTCAAAAATACTCGTATATAAAATGCAAAATTGGTTTTAATTCTTGAAATTTTACAAACTTTGACAGTGTAAATTACAGCCAGGCCAGGTATCCCAACTTCTTTTGTAATATAAACTGTATGCTGTGTTTTTTAAATTAAAACTTATTGATAGACTATGGTAAATCAAAATCTGACCTCTTGAATAAAAATTTAAAAACTCTGAAATGAAATGAATATTATTGCTAGATAGAAATTAGCTGGGCCCATTTATATGAATGGTTTTTTTCTTCTGATGATCATGGTTATCCCACCAATGAAGCAGAAAATCACCATTATGCTTCATTGCAAACATGGTTGATGAACATCCCAATGCAGTAAACAGTTGATTATATCATGCACAATTTATTAAAGGTCCACTTCTTTGGCCAACATGCCAACAGCAAACCAGTAATGCAGAAACGCCATAAGTTTTCGCAAAACGTAATCATTTTATTTTCTAAACACAATATAGTCCAGTTTATTATGATCATTTAATGGAATCTCCACATGTGTTGTTTTGCCACCAATGCTTTGTGTCCATGTAGCTTTTCTCTCTTTTCTGTGGATCATGGATCATTCCACAAAGAATGCACATGAAGTTAGTGTCCACAAAATCCCAAGTTCCCTGCCATTTGAAAAAAGCATTGAACTGGTCATCATCTTTGTCAATTTCATTCAACTTTTCAGCAAGTTCTTTTGCTGATTCAAAATCATTGATGTGCAGGAATGAGTTCAGTGGCGCAGCTTTCAGGTAATCCTCTTTGTTTGCTCCCATGACAATGGGTATGACATTGTTACTGATCAAAGAAAGAAGGAAAATTTAAAAACAAATACCTTGAGAACTGATTTAAAATGGTGAGAATATAATATACTCCAATTGCGCAATTAAGTCAATTAAGTACAGTACCACAATAAGTTCTTCATAAATAATCATCAAGAGTTCTCATTGCTGGTCCAAATTAAATGCCCAGCAGGAAGAGAAGTTGAATAATTCAGTCATTTCAACTTTTGTCCTTGGTATATAGTTACACTTTCTCACATACAGTATTAGGCATAGCAGCATATCAGTTATAAAGAGAGTAAAACTCACGTCAATGCATTGTTGAAAAATTTCTCAGTGATGTAATCCTTGCAGTTGCTGTTTTCAAAAGCCAAGTAGAATTTATAAGTATCCCTTAACATCACAGAACACGTGCTTGCATTATTCCTTGGACAAACCAGGCTCCCACAAGCTCCAAAAATGTCCACTTGAATGTACTTGCTGAGTTCTTTTACATAGTCAAGACGATGGTTGACAGTTTCGCAATTTGACACAAACCATGCAACTTTCTTTGTCTTGTTCATAGCCAGATTTGTATTTTGCTCTTGAGATTGAACCCTTTCATCAAAGTACATCCACTTTCCATGTGGAGTGGCAATGTCAGAGTCTGAGCGGTATGTGGCTGTCCAATTTACAGAATGTGGCTCTGAGTATGCTGAAGAATGCAGAGGACTTTCCAGAATGTAGAGGACCCAAATCTGGTGCCTATGTATTCACAGGTTAGAAATGGTTAGAAGAATTTAAGAAAAGGGCACAAAAGTGAAATATCACTCAATTATGTACCAAATGAAAAATGCACTTCAATATGTTATCACTTCGAACTTTTATTATTGCTTATTGCCAATGGAAAGCAAGACATTGAAAAGAAGGATAGAAAATCTTTGGCATCAACCAGGGTTATTTTTCACCATTTTGGTCAAATTGAGAAAATTGGATGATGCCAGAATTTTTAAATTTCTTACATGTATGTTCATCTTCCTGAGAAAACATTCATTATTCCTTGTTCACAATAAAGTTACTGAATTGATAGAAAATGATTATGGGCCAAGGATGATATTTTTTGCACTCTGGAACAAATTGTTTTTTTTCAATTACATAAAAATGGAGGAATATTTTGTTCTGTGGAAGGAAATTTATATTAAGGAAGTGGAAATATTATCCCATTTTCCATACAAGTCTCTAGCAAAGATACATTTACAGAATGGGTAATCTTATGTCACAAATGCCTATATTTAACCCCAATCCAAAAGTATATAGCTATTGCTGTACAGGTGCATGGTACCTTGCAATTTGCCCTAAATCTGTTGCCAAACTAGGGGCAAATTTCAAAGCAGTCAAATTGTGAGACACTGGAATTCAAGAATATTAGTTTAAAAAATGCAAAGAGTGGCCAAAGAAGATTGAATTCTGGGGTAAAGGTCAAATTGCAAATCAACCTCCCTGCAAATTTGACCATGGAATTGCAGGATGGTTGAACTGCAAATGGTTAAATTGCAAGGTAGTACCTGTATACATACTGTATATTGAAAATGTTCTGGCATGTTTTCAGACAAAACTACAATCATGACTTTTCCCTTCAATATTGTACTGTATTCTTAACTAATCCAAGTAATATTCTGGATTACACAGAACTGAATGGCCAGCATTTAACTTTTTTATTTTAATATACTGTATAGGAATGATTCATAAGCTATAGGATAAATAAGACAGGATGCACTTCCTAAAATGAGGTAGGATCAAATGAATGACCTCTTGACCATATTATAGACAAATAAAATAGTTTACAGTACTCTCCAATCTACACACAGGTTTGTGAGAAATAAGGGATTTTAGAAAAGCATTATTTCAGCTTTTTCAAGGACTGAAATAGACTTCTCAACTGGATAAACAATCCATTCAATGAATTTAAGAACACCGCATACTTTTTTCATGTTGCATATGCAGTGTGTAGATGCTGGCCATATTATGATTGGTAAAGCTATGATAAACTGTATAACTATGTGTTTTTAAATGCTTGTCTTGCTGTTTTGGGCATGATACTTGATTTTAATTTCATTTTTGCATCCCAGAACAACTTTTGGTTTAGTGAGAATCTTATTTGCTGCTGGAATATACAGTATATATTAAAGGTTTTTCCTATACTTTACTGCAGTACCTGTGCTTTTCTGTCCTTTTTATGTTAACCCCATTGGTAAAGACCACCAGGTCCGCTTTTTCCAGTGGCACTTCCCATGGTCTTCTCAAAACGCATTTTCTCACAGGGCACCGTAAAAAGGGTTTCTTCCCAGA